CATTGCCTGATGGATAAAATTGGAAATCCTTGACATGGCCTATATAACACCTACCTGCTCACCCTAACTTTCTTCACTCCTGTGCCCCTACCACTTCCTGTAATGCTCTTACACGCCGGCTCTCAAACCTAGCACCACTGACCTTGTCACTCCTGCAGATGGGGAAGTCCTTTCATCTCTCCCCTTTAACCCTGAGCTAATTTCTATTCATTCTTCAAAACAGCTCAAATGTCACTTCTGCCAGGAAGCCTTCTCTGAGCATCCCCACGCCTCAGTGCCTCTCTGCACTGCTGCTTTTGACATGTGCTATGTGTCCAGGTATTCCATTCCCCTCCAAAACTGCGGGTAATCACCCACAATCATCAGCAGCATGGCCTTCATGAAAGTTCTTCTCCCACTTAATAGGGTCTCTATCATCTTTTTATTTCCCCTGGCTCAGGGCTGTCAGGAAGAGTGTATAATTTCTTTTGTTCTTTTTTCTTTTAATAAAACTTTTATTTTGAAGGTTTAGATTTACAGAAAAAAAAAATTGCAAAGATAATACAGATTTCCCATAAACTCTATACCCAGTTTCCCTTGTTATTGCCCTCTTACATTCTTATGGCCTATTTGTCACAAATAATGAAGAATAGTGATATATTGCTACTGTCTTAAAATTCATCCTTCATTCTTATTCCCTTGGCCTTTCCTTAATATCATGTTATTTTTCCAGGATAACCACTACATTTGCTCATTGCATAAACTCTTTAGGTTCCTCTTAAGTGTTACAGTTTCTCAGACTTCCCTTGTTTTTGTTTGAGGTTGACAGTTTTGAGGACTAGTGGTCAGATATTTTCTCCTTGAATTTGGGTTTGTCTGCTGTTTTTCTCAGGATTAGATTTGGGTTATGTGTTCTTGAGATTGAGTGCCATTTTCATCACTTCTTATTAAGGATACACATTATTCACGTGACCAATCACTATTGAGGCTGACCTTGATCACCTGGTGGAGGTAAGTGTTTTTTTCAGGTTTCTCCATTTAAATTTACTCGTCCCCCCTCCGTCTTTTCCATATTATCCTCATTGGAAAGGAGCTACGCACAGCTCTCACATAAGAAGTGGGGAGTTATAGTCATCCAACGAGAGTGGAGAGTACATATATTCTTTGGTTTTCTTCTGCATGGGAGATTTGTCTCCCATTTACTTATTTATACAATCATTTATTTATGTCAGTATGGATGATTTTTGTAATGATCTGTTCCCACAGTGCCTACCACCAATTCATTAAGTCCAGCACTTACAAATTCTCAATAGTGTTTGTTGAGAAAATGAATGTATGAGGACTGACTTGGGTGACTTTAAAATTCAGATGTTGAAGCCCAACCCCTAGTACCATAGAATGTGACTTTGATTGGAAACAGGGCCTTTAAAGAGGAAACTACAGCTAAATGAATTCATAAGGATAGGGGTTCAAATGCAGTAAGACTGATGTCCCTCTAAGAAGAAGAAAAAAGATTAAGGGGACATGCACACAGATTTTCTCTGGAAAAGGCCCATGTGAGGAGGCAGCAAAAAAAGGTGGTCATGTGCAAGCCCAGTAGAGAGGTTTCTGGAGAAATCAATCCTAACAGCATCTTGCTCTTAGATTCCCAGCCTCCAGAATGGTGACAAAATGAATTTCTTTGTTTAAACCACACAGTAGTCCATGGTATTTTGTGAAGGTAGTTCCAGCAAACTAATATAGGGGAGAAGCCCAGGGGCAAATATTTTTACATATAAACTCTGTATATGTCACACAAGGTCACATGGTGCTCCTGAGCATCCTAGGAGGGAATGTCCCTGTTCTCCCAGAATTATAGGTTATTGTCCATTAAATATTTGTATCTGTAGGTGGCTTCAGTCGTGATACATGGCTTGTGTAGAAATGGGTAGTGATAAAGTCTACCGGAAGTTTCCTTTTGTCATCGTCTGATCTCAACCAGAGAGTAAGATACCAAAAGACTTTGAAATGACAGGAGGGAGGGCATGAAAATTACTTGAACCCTCACATGACCATTTTTTCCTTCCTTTGGGATTTATGCACCTATCATTATATCATTGTTTTCAGAAGGGGGGGGGAAGGAATCAGAAGGACAGTTGTAACAAAGCAAAGAAGTAGACAGGAAAGGGAGGGTTATTTTTTCTTTCTTTCTGAATAAATCCCTCACCTATAAGAGGCTTGATATTTCTGCCCTGTCCTTTAATAGGAAATTATAATTGACACATGCTCTTGGCCTCCTAAGTGTTATCTTACACAGTCATCTAGACAACCTTATGAAATATATTATCTCCATTTTGTGGGTGAGAAAACTAAGATACAGAGAGCTCAACTTGCTCAGTCACACAGCATATCAGAGGTCACATTCAAACCTGAACCCAAAACAAATGATTCTAGAACCTGCAGTCAACTGCCATGTTTTCTCTCTTAACAGATAAAGCGGGTGTCCTAGAGTAAGTACCCTGACATACAAAAGGATCGTGGCCCAAAACCTGGAAATGGTCCAGGGTTTGTGAGCAGCTGTCACTGGGATCAATGCAAAATCAATGCTTAACCAAGTTAACTTCACCCACAAACTGCCTCATTGTCTGACTGTTGAGTTTGAAGTAGGGATATGAAGGATGTTGCTCTGTGGTTTGGTACTAAAGTTTAAGTCACCATGCCAGTACTGACAGCCCAATGTATATACATACACAGACAGCCCTGGAGAGGAAGCCGCAGTAAAACCCAGTGATTGAGAAATTTCTACAACACGTGCTTTTGTTACAGGGATAAACTGGATGCCCCTGAAAAACAAAAAGTAAAACTGCCTCTGTCCCCAGTTTAGCCATGCACTTGCAGCAAACTTCGTGGAAGGTTCATAGGACTGAGTGAGGTTGTAGGAGGAAAACACGATGGTCCCTAGGCTTTTCTCTTTTTTAACATGAAAGGTTAAAAAAATAACCCCTGTCCCCATCCATCCTTAGAATTACCCTTTCCAAAGAAGTCGAGTTCCCTTTCCTTGTAGATATAATCCTAATTAAAAATAAATTACATGCTGTATAGAACTTGAAACGGAAAAGATAATCCTATTACCCATGAGAATATATCCTGATTTTCTTTCCCGCTAAACTGTGGGAGATATCAGATCTGGCTGAGCCCCCCATTGTCCCCGCTTTGAAAACTTTCCTAGAGCCCTAATCCGTCACGTGACTCCTGTGTCAATCTCCGGATCTGCACGCGAATTCCACAATGCCGGCATTAGATTCGGTAACAGAAACCCAGCTTTGCGAGGGCCCCCAACATTTGCATTGAGAAAACGCCAGTCATTTGTGGGCTGTGTTTGTTCTCAGGATTGAGAGACAGTGGCAGGCGAAGTTGCTAGAACCGAGAGAAAGGAGCTGCTTTGAGCTGGCCCGGGCCTTTGGTATGATAACTAGTCGATTTGAGAGTCTTTTGTGCGGCCGGATCAGCGCCGGCGGAGAGCGAGCGCCCTCCCTTCCCCCGGCCCTCCGGCCCCACCTCCCCGGGCATTTTGCGTCCCCGGGGAGTTGCTGTCGGCGCCGTGGCGCTATTTTAAATCGTATTTCCAGAATCTGGAGGCAGCCGACCCCGGGGTCGGGAGCTCACTTTCCTCGCGTGCCTTCACACCTCCACCGCCCGCCCCGACAGGCCCGCGCGCGGGGGGCCGCGGCGCGGGGCTCACAGCTCGGCCGCCCCGGCCGCCCGTCCCGGGCGGCGCTCGGCGCTTCCTGGAGCCGCCGCCGTGGCTGCCGCTTCCGAGCTGCAGAGGCTCTGTCCGCGGGGGAAAGGCTTCGGATCTGTTACTAGCTGCCTCCTATCCCTCCTCCTGCCTCTTGGCTTCTGCCTGCGCCCCTACTCCTCTTCGCGCCCCCCTCCCCTGTAAGCACGCCTTCGCTGATTTCGAGCGGAGAATGAGCATGATGACGTGCAAGCGCTTTGGGTGAAAATGTCAGGTAGTTCCGATTCTCCGGCCAAGCAAAACGTCAGAACACAAACAGCGAGCGGCCGCACTCCGGAGGTGCAGCCCAGAACGGCTAGGCCGCCCCGTGGGTAGGGCGGGGGGCAGGTCCGGGACGCCGGAGAGAGCGCGCTTCTGGTCCGGCTCCTGCTCCCTCTCAGTGTGCCGCTAGGCAGGTGCCCACTGACGGCGAACAGCTGGAGACATCCTTCCTGCGCGACTCCGCCCTCACGGTCCTCTACCTGCCCCTCCACCCCCGCCCCTACCTTGCTCCGGGGCGTCTGTGCTCAGCGGCGGCAGCTCTGAGCCGGCCTGACCTCTCCAGGTCACGCTCGTGGCCTCTGGGAGGCCGCTGTCCGCCTGCCGAGTTCTGAATCTGTTCGCGTTTGGGTCGACCAGGGAAGGGAGGTGAGGAGGGAAGGTGGGACCACGAGAGCACTAAAGGCCACCAGCAGACCTCAGCACTGTTGTGGGGCTCTGAAGGAAGGCAGAGTGTTCTTTCGGCTGTGCTGAACTTCAGGGAAATGTCTCTTGGGCGCAAATCAGGAGAGAGCAAGACATTAAATGACAGGAGCGGGGAGAGGAGGAAGGAAAGCTGGAAATTAGGCTCCTGTAGGGGGCGTTGGCCCTTCCCAGCCCCTGGGCGGCTGCAGTTGCCTGGGCCCCTTGCTTCCAGCACACCCAAGGCAGCAAGGTGGAGGAGGTGGGGAAGGAAATCGAGAGGCAGGAGCTCTTTGAGAATGTCCCCAACATTCACCGCCCCCGCCCCCATCTTTTATTTATTACCGTCCGGGGCAGCACTTTTTTATTTTTTTTTTTTCACTCTCTCTCTGGCAACTCCGAGCACTTTCTTCATCTTCCCCCAAGGCCCTTTCTCTTCCCACCTCCCTGCTTGGTCTCCCTACTCAGGGGAAACGGTTGCCACTTCTTCGGAAAAGATCCCAGAACATATCCCACGGGTTTGAACGAAAGGAAAATATAGTAAGATGTTGAAAGCAGGACAAAAATCAAATTTTAAAGAACGTTTATTAAAAGCATCAACTCCATCGCCTTTAAAATAAATTCTCTTTCAGTGTATGACTTGACTTGTTTTTGCCTCTCCTTCTTCGCATGTATTTGCATAGCCTGCTCCATAAAACTCCTCAATTAGAGTCAGCAAGAATTCCACCTGTTCCTGCCTGGGGGCCCATCCTCCTGGTCTTCAGGGATGCCGCAGGCAGGCTACCTGTTGGGGCAAGTTAAACGCCGGACCAGCCCCGGGACCCGCCCATCCCAGAGCTTGGCAGTGCCGAAGCTCCACACTTTCGCAGGCAGATGGCTAAGTTCCCCCCAGGTTTCAACGTCATGCTGTGATTTTGTTCTTCTGGAACGGGATGAGTATTGCTTCCCAGAGCGGCCCTATTAGAACAGAAAGAAAATCCTCTAAATAGGCGGAACAAGGCATCAGGAGGGAAAGTTTTCTAAATGCACTTTAATACGAGCCGGGTATTGTGTGGAATTCAGCGCCCATCACAGTTTAGCCAGAGAGTTATGGCAGTGATTGGGGATGAATAGAGAAATATAATGGATACATGTGGCGTTTACTCATTATATTCCAGTTAGCCTAACTCCGCTGTGGAAACTGTTCAACTTTCTCTCCTCTTAGCTTGTCACAGTGAAATAATACAGACATTGGGGCCTCCAGTGGGATCGCCTGCCACGCCATTCTATTTCCACTGCTAACGAGGGCTTCATAAGCCTTTGATACAGTCTGATCTTTGAAACCTTTCCAAATCTCCTCGAGCTTATGCTAAATCCTATTTGGAACTTTTTTTTCCTTGCCTACTAGCGCCCAAGACTTAAGAAAGCCATTTGGACAGTGACATGCATACTAACACAGCGCAGGGCTCTTTGAAAGGGAAGTGGCGGCTCCGATCACCGGGGCTCACGCGAGCAAAGCACAATTGAGTACACAAATTTGAATAAAATCAATTTTCTCTTATCCTCCGGGCTCCTCAATCGAGAGGCTATTCCGAGTGCCACAGGAAGCTGGGAGAGAAGGCGCGAAGAGCCTCGCGGGTCGTTCTGTCACGAGGGGGCTGCGAGCGTTTGGTGAGCCCCGGAGGCGCAAACCGCAGAGCGCGAGAGCGGGAGGGCGGGGGGAGGCCCCAGCCCCGGGGCGCGAGCCCGGCGGGTCGGCTCCGGCCCCCGCAGCGGGCGCGGAAGCGGCACCCGGCACGCAGCATCCCCTGCTCTGCTCCGGGCGCGCTGCGCCCACTCTTCAGCACGCAGGGCGCTGGCAGGAAAGAGAAAAAAGCTGACGGAGTTAAAGAAACAAAGGGAAGATTCTCCAATTTTTCTTTCTTGTTTTCCCCTCCAAGCTTTTCCACATTAAAGGGATTGTCGGGGGCGGGCGGGGGAGCCGCGCGAGGGCGAGGCCGCCATTGGCTGCGGGGCTCGGGTGATTTGCATAGCGGCGGCTATGAAAGCCGAGGCGGCGCTCGGCGGCGCAGCTCCGGTCGCCGGCCAGCGGGGAGCGCGGCGGCGGGAAGGCGGGTCCAGCGGTCCTCGGAGCGCGCCGGAGCCCGGGGCTGCAGCCCGCAGACTTCCGCACCCGGCTTGCAAAGAGCGTGCTCCGCGGAACCCGGGGCTCGCGCTCGCACCTGCAAAGAAGAGCAGTCTCTTCCGTAGCCTTTGGAATAGCACTTGGCGCTGGCGGCATGGGTCCAGGGCGGCGCAGAGGCAGCCCCTGCCTTTTCCCCTTGCAGCTCTTCAGCCTCTGCTGGGTGCTCTCCGTGGCCCAGAGCAAGACTGTGAGGTACAGCACGTTCGAGGAGGATGCCCCCGGCACGGTCATCGGGACCTTAGCCGAGGATCTGCATATGAAAGTGTCCGGGGACACAAGCTTCCGCCTGATGAAGCAGTTCAACAGTTCGCTGCTCCGGGTACGTGAGGGCGACGGGCAGCTGACCGTCGGGGACGCTGGGCTGGACCGCGAGCGGCTCTGTGGCCAGGCTCCGCAGTGCGTGCTGGCCTTCGACGTGGTCAGCTTCTCGCAGGAGCAGTTCCGCCTAGTTCACGTGGAGGTGGAGGTGAGAGACGTCAACGACCACGCGCCGCGCTTCCCCCGGGCCCAGATTCCCGTGGAGGTGTCCGAGGGCGCGGCGGTGGGCACGCGAATCCCCCTGGAGGTGCCGGTCGACGAGGACGTGGGTGCCAACGGACTGCAGAGCGTGCGGCTGACAGACTCGCACAGCCCCTTCCGCGTGGAGCTGCAGACGCGCGCGGATGGCGCCCAGTGCGCCGACCTGGTGCTGCTGCAGGAGCTGGACCGGGAGACCCAGGCCGCCTACAGCCTCGAGCTGGTGGCCCAAGACGGCGGCCGCCCGCCACGCTCCGCCACGGCGGCCCTCAGCGTGCGCGTGCTGGACGCCAACGACCACAGCCCGGCCTTCCCGCAGGGCGCCGTGGCCGAGGTGGAGCTGGCAGAGGACGCGCCCGTGGGCTCTCTGCTGCTCGACCTGGACGCGGCCGACCCCGACGAGGGCCCCAACGGCGACGTGGTGTTCGCCTTCGGGGCCCGAACCCCGCCCGAGGCCCGCCGCCTCTTCCGTCTGGACCCGCGCTCGGGCCGCCTGACCCTGGCGGGGCCCGTGGACTACGAGCGCCAGGACACCTACGAGTTGGACGTGCGGGCGCAGGACCGCGGCCCCGGGCCTCGCGCCTCCACCTGCAAGGTGATCGTGCGAATCCGCGACGTCAACGACAACGCGCCGGACATCGCCATCACCCCGCTGGCCGCCCCCGGCGCCCCTGCCGCCTCACCTTTCGCCGCCGCCGCCGCCGCCGCCGCCGCGGCTCTCGGGGAGGCCGACGCGACCTCGTCGACGGGGTCCGGGACGCCGGAGACCGGCGCCATCTCGGTGGTGCCGGAGGGGGCGGCGCGCGAGAGCCTGGTGGCGCTGGTCAGCACCTCGGACAGGGACTCGGGCGCCAACGGGCAGGTGCGCTGCGCCCTCTACGGGCACGAGCACTTCCGGCTGCAGCCGGCCTACGCGGGCAGCTACCTGGTGGTGACCGCGGCGTCCCTGGACCGCGAGCGCATCGCCGAGTACAACCTGACGCTGGTTGCGGAGGACCGCGGCGCGCCCCCACTGCGCACGGTGCGGCCCTACACGGTGCGCGTGGGTGATGAGAACGACAACGCGCCCGTCTTCACACGCCCGGTCTACGAGGTGTCGGTGCGCGAGAACAACCCGCCCGGCGCCTACCTGGCCACGGTGGCCGCCCGGGATCCGGACCTAGGCCGCAACGGCCAGGTCACCTACCGACTGCTGGAGGCGGATGTGGGCCGCGCCGGGGGCGCCGTGTCTACCTACGTCTCTGTGGACCCGGCCACCGGGGCTATCTATGCGCTGCGCAGTTTCGACTACGAGACTCTGCGCCAGCTAGACGTGCGCGTCCAGGCGAGCGACGGCGGTTCCCCTCAGCTCTCCAGCAGTGCCCTGGTACAAGTGCGGGTGTTGGACCAAAATGACCACGCGCCGGTTCTGGTACACCCAGTGCCGGCCAACGGTTCCTTGGAAGTGGCGGTCCCCGGGCGCACGGCAAGGGACACGGCCATAGCGCGCGTGCAGGCCCGGGACGCGGACGACGGCGCCAACGGGGAACTGGCATTCGAGCTGCTGCAGCAGGAGCCCCGAGAAGTCTTCTCCATCGGCCGCCGCACGGGGGAGATCGTGCTCACCGGCGACCTCTCGCAGGAGCCGCCTGGTCGCGTGTTCCAGGCGCTGCTGGTCGTATCCGACGGCGGCCGCCCCCCACTCTCCACCACAGCCACGGTCAGCTTCGTGGTGACCGCAGGCGGTGGGCGCGGGCCAGTGGTGCCAGTCAGTGCGGGGAACCCAGAGCGCTCTCGCCCGCCCGGCTCGCGGCTCGCGGCGTCGGGGCCAGCGCTACAGTGGGACACGCCGCTGATCGTCATCATCGTGCTGGCCGGGAGCTGCACGCTGCTGCTAGCCGCCATCATCGCCATCGCTACCACCTGCAACCGCCGCAAGAAGGAGGTGCGCAAAGGGGGGGCCCTCCGGGAAGAGCGGCCCGGGGCGGCGGGCGGCGGAGCCTCGGCTCCCGGCTCCCCAGAGGATGCCGCCCGGAGAGCTGGGCCCAGGCCCAACATGTTCGACGTGCTCACCTTCCCTGGCAGCGGCAAAGCGCCCTTTGGCAGCCCCGCGGCCGACGCGCCTCCGCCCGCGGTCGCCGCGGCCGAAGTGCCGGGCTCGGAGGGCGGCAGCGCCACTGGGGAAAGCTCCTGTCACTTCGAGGGGCAGCAGCGGCTCCGCGGCGCACACGCCGAGGTGAGGCCTTCCTTGGGCTGGGCGCCCCCCTCCGTGCTCCGCGGACAGGATGGGGGAAGGGACTGGAGGGGTCCGGGTAGACGTGCGCGGGAGATGCTTAACTTGTTGCACTTTTTTGTTCGTTTCTGGCCTGACCCTTACCCTGCTTCCCCTTTTCCCTGCTGCAGCAGTACGGCGCCTCCCCGGGCTTCAGAAAGGAACCCGCGCCCCCTGTGGCGGTCTGGAAAGGACACTCCTTCAACACCATCTCTGGCCGGGAAGCAGAGAAGTTCAGCGGCAAAGACAGTGGCAAAGGAGACAGTGATTTCAACGACAGCGATTCTGACATCAGCGGGGACGCTCTGAAAAAGGATCTCATCAACCACATGCAGAGTGGTAAGGACTCTCTTCCCAGCCTCTTCTGCCCTGCTGCAGCATTCCTGCTCTCCCTGCCCTGCTGCCACTCTCCTTCCTCCCTCTCCCTCCTCTCCGTCTCTTCTCCCAGCTTCTCCCATTCTTCCCACATTTTCCAGTCCTCCAGTTCAGGATCCTGTACTGCCTCATACAGTGAATCTCAAAATGTCAAGACAAGGCATATACACCACTTGAAAAAAGCACATTCCCATCCTGTTGGGTAGAGGTAAGGGTGACTCTAGCAGTGTGAGCTGGGAGATTCTATCTATCTGCCTATCTCTTTCTTCCAACAAAAGAAGCCCGACAACTCCATATTAAGGTGGCTGGACAGAAAGCAGTGTGTTTTTTGTTTTTTTTTTTTTTTCAAATCTTGAATGCTCATAGGCTTTCCTTTTCAGCCAGCCCTGACATTCTGAAGTTGGCCCTGCGGGTGTACGTAATCTCAATAATGATAGTCATGCACTCTCCCTCTTTCTTTTCTGTTAGGACTATGGGCATGCACCGCTGAGTGTAAGATCCTGGGTCACTCTGACCGCTGCTGGAGCCCATCCTGTGGAGGACCCAATACTCACTCCTCCCCGCACCCACCAGCCCAGATGTCAACCTTCTGTAAGAGTACTTCCCTGCCTCGGGATCCTCTGCGCAGGGACAATTACTACCAGGCCCAGC